CTCCAAGCCACTGTGAACTAGCCTTCGAGGGGCTTTTATACAGAGTACCTTTTCTAACAAAGTGGGCATCAAAGGTGATCTAAGGGAAGCAAATGTTTTTTAAAAACCGCTCTCTCACCTGTAATCTCAGCACTTTGGGAAGCCAAGGCAGGTGGATCACTTGAGGTCAGGAGTTCAAGACCAGCCTGGGCAACATGGTGAAACTCCGTCTCTACTAAAAATACAAAAAATTAGCCAGGCGTGGTGGCAGGCCCTTGCAATCCCAGCCACTTGGGAGGCTGAGGCAGAAGAATCACTTGAACCCGGGAGGTGGAAGTTGCAATGGGCCGAGATCATGCATTGCACTCCAGCCTGGGCAACAAGAGCAAAACTCTGTCAAAAAAAAAAAAAAAAAAAAAAAAACGTAAAAAAAAAAAAAAAAAAAAAAAAAAAAGGACAAAAACACCCCAGGTGGCCCATGCTTTCAGCCTGAGAGTCTCAGAAGAATGTGCAGAGGCCCGTGTGATTAGCCACCATCCAGCCCACCTGCCCCAGGCCACACTGCTCCAGAGGGAGAGGCCAGCAGAGGTATCTCATCTCAGCACACAGGTGGGGGCAGGTAATGGGCTGGAGTTGACCTAACAGATTGTGGCAGATTGCCGGCTGAGGCTCCACCTTGAGTCACCTCCTGTGTGCTGTGGTGCACGCATGCCCCTGATAGACAAAGGTAATTTACTTTGTATGGGAACCACAAATGTCATCTGTAGTTTTATCTAGACGTATGTGTTGGAGATACATACCTTGACCAGTTGTGTTATTTAAATTATTGCCAGCAATGTATGCAAAAGTCAACGTTCTACTCCTAGGGGGATAAAACAATTTTGAAAGCAATGAGGAACAAGCCCAACTTTCCAACAGCTTTATTTTAAAAAGCGAATGTGGAGAGGAAGTCTAAGGACAGAAGGGACACACACCTCAGCATGTATAAGACCACATACAGGCAGGCACAGAGGAGGGGCCCAGACTCCACATAAATACTTGGTGAAGATAAACGGTAAACAGTGGGACAGGAGAGGGAGCCCAGAAATACTCCCACACACGTATGGTTGACGGCTTTTGACAAAGGTGGAGCAAGGACAGTGTCCTCAATAAACGGTTTTGGGAAAGCTAGATATTCACAGGCAGAGGGATAAAATTGGCCCTTATCAGACACCGTACACATCCTGGACTCCAGCCGGGGAAACCCTCCAGGGACATTGTGGGGGTGACTGGCAAGGTTAGAATACGGATTCCAGATCAAGCTGCCATGTGACACTCGGGTCCCTCGACTTTGAGACTTGTGCTGTGGAAACACCAGGAACACTCTTGTCCTTGTTCCTGGAAACAGCCCAAGTGCTAAGGGACAGAGAATCGTGATGCCAAGGAGGTACAAGATGTATTTCCAAATGGCTCTAGGAAAATTTAATTTTTTTTTTTTTTTTTTTTTTTTTTCACAAAATCAATACCTCAGCAAATGACTCTGTACCCTCCTGGAGTCTTCCTGTTCCTTGTTTTGTGTCATACTCAGACGCCAAATGAAATGCGCAATGCAGAGGGAAGAGGTGAAGCTCCCAGGGGCCCAGTTCACTCCCTGACTCAGGTGGCGAGCTCCGGGCTCCGACCACCCCGTGCTGAGCTTTCACTGACTCCACTGCATCATGCAGGGATTCTTAAAAAGTGATGAAAGGGAGTTGGGGAGGGATAACATGGGGAGAAATGCCAGATATAGGTGATGGGGAGAAAGGTAGCAAAGCACATTGCCATGTATGTACCTATACAACAATCTTGCATGTTCTTCACATGTACCCCAAAACCTAAAACACAATAAAATATATATATTTTAAAAAGTGATGAAAGGTGGAACACTTCATCTGAAAGAGGTAAGCCCAGTGTTTCCTGGGACAGGCAGTGGGCGACCTCTATGTCCTTCTTGGTGCTCAGTTCTCCGCATTCTGCCCTTGAGGGAGCCTTGGGTGACCTGAGTGGCATCACCCGTATCTTGAGATACTCATTTGCGTAAACACAGCAGTGCCTAGATCTTGGCTTCTAATCCCACTCTCCAGTAAAAGGAACCAGGGGTCCTTGGAGAAACGGGTCTAGTACTGGAGCAGGGAACACACAGATAAGCCTGGGTGTCCTGCAGTTCCAGAAAATCAGTCTGTGCCCAACAAAGCAGCTGTGAATGGACAGAGGAGGCCAGCAAAAAGGGCTCCTCATGACCAACGCTGGAAAAACCTGATCAAGAAAGTTGTCTGGGCGCAGTGGCTCACATCTGTAATCCCAGCACTTTGGGAGGCTGAGGCAGGTGGATCAACTGAGGTTACAAGTTCAAGACCTGCCTGGCCAACATAGTAAAACCCCATCTCTACTGAAAATATAAAAAGGAGCCGAGGCTGAGGCAGGAGAATCGCTTGAACCTGGGAGGCAGAGGTTGCAGTGAGCTGAGATCATGCCAGTGCACTCCAGCCTAGGAAACACAGGGAGAGTCTGTCAAAAAAAGAAGACAGAGGGAAAGAAAGAAAAGATGAAAAAGGAAGGAAGGAAGGAAAGAAAGACAAAGAGAGAGAGAAAGAGAAAAAGGAGGAAGGAAGGAAGGAAGGAAGGAAGGAAGGAAGGAAGGAAGGAAGGAAGGAAGGGAGAGAGAGAGAAAGAAAGAGAGAGAGAGGGAGGGAGGGAGGCAGGGAGGGAGGGGGGAGGGAGGAAAAAGAAAGAGGGAGGGAAGGAAGGAAGGACAGAGATGAAAATGGAGCACATGAGTCCACATGGATGTCAGTACATGACAGGATAAATAAATAGGGAGGAGACAATCTTTCTTGCAGAAGAATTACAGATAACAGAGGTAGATGCACCTGCTCTGAGAGGTGGACGTGATTCCACACTCTCACTACCTTGAGGGTGGCCTGGGCTGAGACAGGTCCCCAAGGAATAGAAGAAGAAGAGGGAAACAGGCATTTCACAGGGAGACACCAGGCAAACATCACCTCAGCAAGCAATGAAGGTGAGCGGATATGGGGCACTGTGGTATCACGTGACTCCTCTTCCCAAACACACGCACCCCCAGTCTAATCATGGGAAGATCGTCTTCCCTAGATTAGGGACCTGGATTGGGGAATGTCCTGCAAGATACCCAGCAAGTCTCCTCAAAGCCACTGAGGTCATGAAAGGCAAGGTCAGACAGAAACCGTCAGAGGCTGGAGGGGCTTTAGACATGACTGGCAAATGCATCTGGTGTCCTGGATGGGTCCTGGGATAGAGAGAATCTGCACTGGGGAACTCAGCAAAGTCCGAAGGCCTCCTGGAGGTGAGGCCGTGGTTGCACCCACAGATGTGAGAGGCTGACCACGGAAGACTGCACGGACTCCACTGGAGCTCTCTGCACTGTTGTGAAGACACTTTGCTGCATATTGAAGACAATTCCGTTTTGTTAAAAAAAATTATTTTAAAAATATTTTAATTCAAAACTATGGAGGCAGTAAAATGCTCAGGGATTGAGGGGAAGATTTTTAGGGTGGAGAAATGACTGTGCTTGATGCGACGATGGGAGATGAGAGTCCTGATCACCCGACCAAACCCACAGAGTGGACAGCACCGTGAGTGAGCCAGGGTAAATTCCGGCCGTGGCAACGGTGACACGTCTGTGGGTGCGGCGGCTGTAACGAGCACCAGGGTGAGCCCACGGTAAACTCCAGCCCGTGGTGACAGTGACCTGTCAGTGTCAGTGCTGCAGCTGTAACAAGCACCAGGAGTGAACCAGGCTAAACTGCAGCCCGTGGTGACGGTGACCTGCCAGTGTCGGTGCTGCGGCTGTAACGAGCACCAGGAGTGAACCAGGCTAAACTCCAGCCCACAGTGATGGTGACGTGTCCGTGTGGGTGCAGCAGCTGTGACAAGCACACCCCTCTGGTGGGACATGTTGGTAGTGGGGGAAGCTGTGGTGGAGGTAGGGGTTGGAGTGGAGATCTCTACCTTCTTTTTAACTTTGTTGTGAACCTAAAACTGCTCTAAAAAAAGAGTCTATTTAAAATAGTATATATGGCTTCAAGAAATGCACAACTGTTTTAATTCTTTCACATGATGCACGACTGCTAAATCCAAATGACTGCTTAAACTGGAAAATAAACAAAATCTGTTTAACTGAATCAAGGTCAAATAGAGACAAGCCTCTCTGTGCCCACTCTTGCCAAGCGTGCTTTGGAAAATGTGGCTCCACCATGCAGCCAGAACAAACTCCGCTAGAGTTCACCTGCACAGCAGAGAAGGGAGAAATCATAAAAATAAATTCTCGCTGATACTTACTTCACTGCCATGGAAACCAGCTCAGCCGGCTTTATGTTACTGGGGACATATTTAATTCTCAGAATTTGTATTATTCCCTTGGAAAAATATAACAAAATGTCGTACAATTTGGATTGGCCTTAACGACACAGAAAGTTTCTTAATTATCAAAGCATTTTCTCTCATAAAGCAACACTAAAACTAAAATATTGAAATTTGTATGCCAGAGGAATTTCAGCCTCTTTCTGAACAAAGGAAGAAAAAGTTCAAAGAGGATATGTTCCTCCTAAACTTTTTTTTTTCTAAACTTCAGCCAAGATTTTATTTTTCCTCCGTGGCTGCTACAGTGATCATTCGAAATGAGTGCTTTCTTTCTTTTTAAATCCCTTCCTCATTCATTCACACACTTAAAAAGAACAGAGCCATCTACACGCAGCGTTTTCCTCTACAGAGACTTTTAGGCCTGCAGTATAATCACTAGGTGCCTTTCTAAGCCTTGCACAAAACGCACAGTTCTTAGGACTGGTGCTGTCTTGGGTGCCGCTTGGGGCCGGCGATGGGCTCCCTGTCACTCAGCCCCACGGGTCGGAGGGGCTTTGCGGTGTGATTCACCTTGCCCTGCTCTCTGGACTGTGAGGGTGCTGTCTGCACCCCACTGGCCATGAAAGTGCCTGGTGACACAGAATTAAGCCAGGAGGGTGAGCAGGTGCAGGCAGGCATGATTTGCTACAGAAAAGCCACACCAAGGTGATTTTTAAAGTTTTATTTGCCTAAAGCAAGAGAAAACAAGCGTCACCAGATAACACATGCTTCAAAGCCTCCACAGCCAGGATTCCAGCACTGCGAGATCTCACAGCCCCTAAACAGCAAGCGACAGCATGGTGGCTTCTCAGTGGCTTCACACAGACCGCCACATGCTACACACACACACGCCTGGGTGTCATGCCCACGTGCCTACACCCGTGAAAATGCTCGTGTCATCTGCCAACCCACCCTCTGCCAGTATCTGCAGTCTACGCTCCTGTAAACACATGTTGCTTAGTCTAGTGGAAAACATTAGCTTTCCCCCTTGGATGGGTATAAAATAATCATCACCAAACGCAAAAATCAAAGCACAATGCATGGTCAACTATCAGCCCACACAGGATGCCACTAGGACGCCGCTCACTCGGAACAAGCCCACAGCATTCCTGGCTCTGCCAAGAGGTTTCCCGTCTCCAGGCTGGGAAGACGCCTTCACTGGCCTGGCGCTGAGGCAGACGCTGGGATGAGCTTGGGCTTGGCCTGCTGGGGCGGGGCCATGTCCGGGATCTTCTCTCCGTGTTTGTACACGCTCACCGTCACGTCGATCTTCTCCCCGCCGTACTTGTTCTTGACGTTCATGCTGTACTTGCCCGAGTCCTCGGAGGTCACGCCTTTGATGGTCATGCTGACGTACTTGGCCTGTTCCACCTTCACCGAGAAGTGCTCGCTGAGCTCAATGTCCTGGTCATTCTTGAACCAAACCACTTCGGGGTCAGGGTTTCCAAACACCGTGCAGGTCAGATTCAAGGTCTTCGGAAGGAAGAGGTTGGTGGAGAAGGAAGAGTTAGAAAGAGGTAAGTTGTATTATCCCCCGAGATGACGTGCTCCAGGTCACACTCAGTTAAATTTATGGGCCCTTCAGTCATTTGTTTAGCAAGAAGGCTTTCTGTATGTAAACGCCACTCTAAACAGAGCAGCCAGAGGACAGCCAGCCAGGGCCCAGGCGCACCCCTCCACAGGGGAGCTCACAAAACAAATCAGTGAGAATGTGTCCTGTGTATTCTCAGCTTTTGTCCAAGCCCTATGTCAGTGAAAGAATGTGAAAGTAATTTAATTAAGCTCTATGTTTTATAGTAGATAAATCCAGCCTGCTACTAAATTTCCTTTATATTTAGACTTATGGATCCCTCTTACCAGTTCCTCTGGCAAATCCAATGAATATATTGTCTTATAACTGGTAAATTGGAGGCAAAAAAAATGCATTATTGAAGGTCAGCCTAGCATAAAGTAAAACAATTGCTAATTTCTCAATTACATCCTTAAGATGAGGTCTCAAGAGTTCTCTAGGCTTTCCTTAGCTGCTAAAGAAGAGGTCTATAAATTTTTCTATTTTGGCCTCATAAAATTCTCTCAAGTATCTGTGTCCCCGTGACATTGAGTTAGAACCACTGATGCAACCAGAGAAGTACAATTAGATATCAATAATTCTACTGAAAGGCAACAAATTAAAACTCCAATAAGTGGTTTCCACGATGTATTCCATAATGACCTTAAGAATAGGAGCAGAGATTTTTTTCTTTCATGTTGTAAAGCTGTGCTGTTTCACACTGGAAGCAGGTGGCTTGCAACTTCACACAGGCGGGTGGGCCATGGGGCTGTGGCCACCTCGTCCTGCAGTTGCTCCTCTGGGTGAATGGCCACAGGGGCAGGTAGCATCAGACCCTGGCAGACCCTGAGGGCCTAGAAACACCCATAGCCACAGCGCCTTCCTTGAGGTGCCCAAGTGGCACAACACATCCCTGTGACCACAGGTTTGTGAATTCAGAACGCTAAGCGATTCTTTCCTTTGAGAATACAGGGGTTATCCCAGGCCATCTAGGAGGGGCAAGAAAGTCAGGGGAGCTCTGAGTTCCCTGCAGGCTGGCTGAGGACACAGAAGCCCCTCGCTGGGCTCCCTCTCTACCCCAAAAGGAGGGGTTGCATCCCTTGCACCTGCACCGTGCTGACACCCCCGCCCCGGCCTAGTTTAGAATCTTCACCTTTCCTTCCATGATAGTCACCACGTCAGGCAAACCGCCGATCACCCTGCCACGATCTGCAATGGGAAATCACCTTGGTTAGGAAAACGTCTGCGAGACAGAGCAGAGGCTGTGTGAGAAGCAGCGGGTACCAAGGTGAATGTAGGAAGGAGCTTATGCTCAGGAGAGAGAGAGCACCAAAGAAAATGATTTACATGTGTACAACTGAGGGATAAACCAAAGCCAATGGAACAAAGGCGAGGAGATAACAGACGCTGTGAAAAGGTAGGACGCGAAATACTCCAGAGGAAATGTGAGATGCGGGAGGGACTGAAGGCTCAGAGAGCCACATGTGTCCTTGAGTTGGGCAGAAAGCAAAGGGGTCCTGGCCTGGCAAGGTGGGTCACACCTGTAATCCCAGCACTTTGGGAGGCCAAGGTGGGCAGATCGCTTGAGGCCAGGAGTTCAAGACCAGCCTGGCCAACATGAAACCCCATCTCTACTAAAACTACAAAAATTACCCAGGCATGGTAGTGCATGCCGGTAATCCCAGCTACTTGGGAGGCTGAGGCACAAGAATCACTTGAACCTGGCAGGTGGAGATTGCAGTGAGCCAAGATCATGCCATTGCACTCCAGCCTGAGCAACAAGAGCAAGACTTCTGTCCCAAGTGAAGAGGTCCTGGGGGTCTGGGCTATAGGTTCTGCAAGGGAGGATGGAGGAGAGGAGGGAGGGAGGGGGCCCAAGGGGGGAAGGAGCTAAGGCCAAAAGCAGTGCAGGCGCCAGTGGTGCAGGACGTGGGGCTCCAGGACAGGATGCAATGTTGGTGGCATTGTTATATCAGGGTGGGGGATTGCTGGTTATTATTTAATACACAAAGTTTGTACTCTAAAATGCAAGCCCTTTTGCCCCACCCAAAATAATACGCCATTCTGGTTATAATCTGACAGGTACTTACTCTTCTCTGCAAAAGCAGCAGCCCTAAAGGTTAAAGGGGGCAGAGAGGAGAGAACGAAAAGAGAATATGAGAAAGTGCTTCCAACAAAAGGCACAGCTGAGAGGTTCGCTAGCAATGAGAGCAAAAGAAAGCAGGAAATATATTTGCATTCTCTTAGAAGAACATGTTCAGGTCACAGGATCCCAGGATGGATATCATAGATTTTTTCCTGATGGTTCCCACTGCCCATTTTGAGGTAGAAAATGCCCTATTATCCAGATGCTAAAACCCACAGAAAAGTTTAGCATTCCAGCTCACAGGTTGAAGTGATTTATTTTTTTCACAAATTCACCAGATTGCCCTGGAGACTTAAGATCTTTTCTGAACTTGTCAGTTTCTGATCTGTCTTGTTCATCCCTGCACCCAATCAACAAATGCTTATTGGACTGTGGTCAGCTTCGGATGTGCAAAAACTTGATCGTACATTTGAAAAATCCCCAAATTTCCTTAAAAAGTTGCTCTGCGTGAGGCGCTGCTCTGATGATAATTGACAGAGCAGCAGCATCACCACCTTGGACAAGCATTGCCATTTTAAGTTTTCCTTGATTAGAAATCGCCTAAATCCAGCCTGAAAACATCAGCTTAATGGCTAATGTCAGCATGACCATAAACCACAAATGACACCTCCAACCAGAAACATGCCAACCCTGACATAACCTCCCCTCCAACCAGAAACATTCCAATCCCACAATAAAACTCTCCTCCACACAGAAACATTCCTAGCCTGCTATAAGATCTCCCTTCCAGACCCATAAATACCCTTAGTCTGTAAGAGAAAGCACTCCTGATGGAAATCAGCCAGAAGGTCCCCTCAGGTTTATTCTCCAAAATAAACCTGTCTGACTGTTAGGCCGCTTTTCATGTTTCTTTTCTCTTTCTTCAACTCTTACAATAATTATTTCCAAACTTCACCTGGGGTCACTATGACTCTGGATAGTTCATTTATAAATCATTTCTGGTTTGTGAGAGTGCCTGCCCTCCACATATTGCATTGCTTAAATTGCCACTTCTTTTCCAGGAATGGCTCTTTCTTTGGATCACCAAGGCTTCCATATAGGTTCCCCATGCAGCCAAAATGACTGGGGCTCAATTGCCCCTAAAATGATATCGTAATAACCAAATATGCAAATCTTACTTGAGTTGTTGGAATTCTGCAAATGCTTCATCAAATGCTGTAGGAAAATAATTCATACATTATTAACCATTTCAGTGTTCAGATTTTATTTATTCCTCAAATAGTCTACCAGTGAATCTGATTCATGAAAACTGATACATAAAAAAATTAATAAACTGATTTTTTCATTTTCTCTACATGAACATCATAAATTCGTATAGTCTCCTGTATTCATATTGTGTTCCCTGCTTTCAGCATCTAAATGGATTTCTACATAGAAAATTATTAAATGCCAAAGAATTATTTTACCTTGTCCGGACAGGTCGAGGGAACGCTGATGATTATCTTTGCCATCAAAAATCTGAAAAGTGTATTTTCCTTTATCCTTCTCTGTCGGCTCACATATCTGCAGCCAAGCCATGTCTTCAGTCCCCCCGATTCGCAAATGCTCACTGGACGAGATCTTAGCATCTCTTTAAAATAGCAACAGGAACGTATTTGAGTTAGGGTCTCCTTATCATACGCACAATATCTACAGGGCAATCTCCTGTTGCTGTGACAGCCTTCTCTAACTTGCTGATGCCAATAGCCCAACAGATCTTTCTCACTGTTACAAAAGTTTTGATCACATCAGTAACTCAGATCTAAAAGCCTTTTAAAATTAAATACTTAATCTTTAAAGGTGTATTATTATTTAATGTACTTGTCACAACACAATAGACTTAACAAAGCTCAATACGGTATGGTAGTTTCTCAAAAAGTTAATGCTGGAACTGCTATATGATCCAGAAATTGCACTTCTGGTAGCTACCCAGGAGAATTGAAATCAAGGTCTTGGACAGATATTGTGATACCCACATGCTTAGCAGCATTGTTCATGACAGCCCCCGGGGCCGGAAGCAGTCCAAGCATCCACTGATGATGAATGGATCAACAGAACGTGGTCCACAAATACATAAAGGAAATCCCAACACCCGCTGCAGTGTGGATGAACCTTGAGGACAATTTTGCTGAGTAAAATTATCCTGTTGCAAATATGTACTCCTGTGAAGTCCTTAGGGTAGTCAGATTCTCAGAGACAGGAAGTAGAACTGTGGGTGCCAGGGGCTGGGGGAGGAGAATGGGGAGCAGGTGTTTAATGGGAACAGAGTTTTGGTTTGGGAAAGTAAAAAGGGCTTGGATGGTGGTGGTGGCTGCAGGATGATGTGAATGTGCTTCACACCACTGAACTGTACACTTAAAGATGGTTGAAATGGTAACTTTTACATTACATGGATTATGCCACAGTTTTTAAAGTTTAGATAAAAACAAAGTGCTCATCCCATTCCTGCCTTCTAAGGTTCCCACATCTGCAACGAATAAGGCCAGCCTGTCTACTGCAGACAATTGTGTATGAGTTACTTCCTAATATTACTTCAGTTCAGAGACAGCCTGAGAGATGTGTGGAAGTTGTAGTCACGGGCGCTGAAAACAGGAGTGACTCCAGGCCACGCAAGAGCTGGAACGTGGACCTGTTTCCCTCAGGCACCAGCTCCAGGACAGCCAGAGCTCGGGAGGCTGGCAGGGTGGGTTGCACGGACAGCTGGCTGTGGTGCTCATGGCATCTTTGCTTACCCTTGCCGGCAACCAAGAATGCCTTGAGTTCCATTGGGAAAATGAACTCTCCAGCCGTCCCCATCATCATAGCCTTTTTCTCTGCTATTCTTTCCTTCAACAAATTATCTTAAGCCCATAATAAATACACAGCTCAGCCAGGCATGGTGGCTCATGCCTATAACCCCAGCACTTTGGGAGGCCGAGGCTGGAGGACTGCATGAGCCCAGGAATTCAAGACCAGCCTGGACAACAAAGCAAGACCCTGCCTCTACAAAAATACAAAAAAAAAAAAAAATGAGCCAGGCATACTGGCAGGCACCAGTAGTCTCAGCCACTCAGGAGGCTGAGGCAGGAGGACTGCCTGAGCCCAAGGAGGTCAAGGCTGCAGTGAGCTGTGATCACACCACTACACTCCAGCCTGGCCAACAGAGCAAGACCATGTCTCAAAAGGTATATATGTAAACATAAATGCTCAGCTCAGCTCTGCGTCCCGGTCTCTAGAGATAGAAATGGCCCCGGTGGTAGTGCTGACAGCATGTGTCAGAATCAAGTCAGCCCAGATGGAAAGTGGTAGCTCCGTGAGGGCACAGCAGGATCCCGGGGTAGACTCCGCAGGCGGAGCCCAAAACCGCAGCTCCCAGGGATGGGGTATGGGATTGGCTTCAATCGAAGACTTAGCGTCTCAGATCCTGGACAGAGAAGGGAGGATCTAACACTTCCCCCATGGGGTTGTTTTAGGAATCCAAGAAGATATGCTCAATATCTATTGAAGCAACTTTAGGACATAATTGATACACCTTTGTCTACAATAAAAAGATTGGCCTCCCTGTTGCCCATGTGGGGACAAGCTCCTGCTGCCTGAGAGGACAGGAACAGTGTGAGCACTTTGGTTTTCTCTACACTTTTTAAAATTGTGTTGGAATATACATGCTGTAAAAGCTACCCCTTTAGCCCCTCGTGGTATGTTAATTATCTCCCTTTTCCCACAAGCTGCCCCTCCCAGGAAAAAGGTGGGAGAATCCGACGGGACAATCCTTCAGGAATGTCTAAGTTCTGCATCTGGAATTCTGTATATTGCTGACCTGGGGGCCTCACGAAGGCTGAGCCCACAGCAGAGCCCCATGCTCTGCCTGGCTGCTCTCAGATCACCGTCAGCACAGTCTGTGTGGGGAGCAGGAGAGGGAAGAAGGATGAGGCCATGACCCCAGGACCCCAGCAGTCAGCAGCTGGAGTGGGCCGGGCCAAGAGTGCCATGCTTGCCTGGCGTTCACATTCCAGGTGACATGGACCCACCAGGTTCTCCATCCGTGGTGTGGCCGAGGGCAGGTGAGCATCAGTGGCCACAGAGGCCATCCTGTGAGCTCGCAGCAGGTTGCTATTATTAAAGTGACTGATGGACCATTCCAGCACTCAGACCTACTCATCCCTGTGTACAAAAGGGAAATTAGGCTTTCCATGGTGATGCTCAGCTCTACAGAAAAGAAAAACCTTTCACAGAAGATATGCCAGGCAGTGGATTAGCCAATTAGTCCCAAACCCTGGTGTGCCAGGAGCAGCAAGAAGCCTGTCTGTGCAGAGACCTGAACATAAACAGACATTGACACGCTGTAGGGACATCACAGCTCAATTGAAAAGACTTCTTTAACCCCAGTATGCACTTACAACTGGACACTTTATGGACCAATCAGCAAGTCAGAAATTGCAGATCAGCAGGGAACTGAGCCCGCAGTAGTTGTGTGTTGACTAAATGTTCCCCATCCAAGGAAACAGAGGTCAATAAGAGTGTGGAACTCTTCTGGTGAGAGTCAGAAAAATTGGTTTTGCCAACACTGATGGGCTTTAGTCATCTTATCACCCTCTCTTGTTGGAATAGTCACCCTGTCTTGTTGGAACTGATGAGGGTCAAAGTTCAAACAAATGCACACACACACACACACATGCAAAAGCAGGCACTGCCAACTTGGCCGTGTGTGTTTCCTGCACACACACACAGACCAGGATTCCAGCCTGAGCCTCCACACATCAGTAAGGCCCTCGGTCCTGCCTGGCCTGCTACCTGCCTCCATGCCCTGCAAAGCCTGGACGCTGCTTTGGAAATTGTGATGAGCTCCAAGCTTGCGAAGAAGGGGACAATTTTCATTATGTCTGGTGTCTTGCACCCTGCACCAAACACTGTGCTCGTGTTAACACTGGTCAGTCTCACTGAGAGAAAGCAACAATCACTGCCACCCTGTGTGATCTCATCCTGCCACCTGCCACACGCCACGTGGGTGTTAGGGAGAAGACAATGTTTTCTTGAACTCCATTAACTCAAATATGCACTCAAAAAAGAGCTAAGTTATGCTCAAAAACTACTGCATCCTAGATGTACAGATGAAGATGTTTAAACCTCTGCTTTGTGTGCTTTGTGTATGTGTGTCGGTGTGTGTGTGTGTGTGAGAGAGAGAGAGAGACTGACTAGAATTTCTTTCATAAGGTAAAGCTGCAAACAGCCCCCAAATCTCATTGTTTAGACTCAGAGCCATGAAGTAAAGCTAGTGGAGTTTCCAGCTTATCAGTCACATCATACACAGCTTTGTCCAACAGGTGAAACTCACTAGGCCACAAAGTCACCTTGCAAATGCTTCAGGAAGTAGTGGGCATTTTAGCCTTTGTGGCATTTCTGTTCTGTTGGACTGTGTCCCATTCCAGTGGTGATCTGCTCCACTCACACAATTAGCAACTTGCTGATAGAATAAACATACTTTTATTTTGATATAGGTGCCAAGGAAAAAAGATGCAATATCTTCAAATGAGCGTTCGTAAAGTAGCTGTAAACGCATCCAGCCGGCCTCCTGGCTGTGATGAAATGGACATACTGGTTGGGCAGCAGTGAAGACAAGGGTCCCTGCAAACAACTGCCTCACTGGCCTCATGCTGATGGTCCTGGGCCTTTGGAGTGACTCATCATTCAAGTTTCACTTTTAAAAAGTGACCCTCTACTTCATTGAGGGTTTCTTTACAACAGCCCCACAATTTGGGGGAAGGCCACTTGAACCTAAATCTCAGCCAGCGACGAAAGGTGAACCCACTGGAGGGAAGGAATGGTGTCCACTGAACACTGAATCACACACTGGCCCACTTGGTGCCCTTCTAGGACCCCACATGCTTATGGTCCCACCTCCTTCGTCACAGCTGCAGCCTCCGCTGCCACCCCGGGTTCTGGGTGAGCATATGCAAGCATGCAAGATGCCCTGAGCCAAGACCTCACAGCCTTCAGCTGGGACACTACCCTTCCTTGAGCTGCAGTGGCAGGAAAACGGGCGTGAGCCTGGGATCAGGAGCCTGCCTTAAACCCTAATCCCAGCTTCGAGCTGCCTGCTTTGGAGTTCCTACTCAGCTTCTCTCTCTTGGACTGGGGTCTAATTCTGTTCCCTCAATACAACTCAGACGCAGCCCCTCACAGAACGTGGACGGCCCTTAGCAGAGCTTTCAGCAGAGGCTCCAGCTGTCCCAGGTGTCTGCAGCCCTTGCTGCTCACCTCCAGGGCAAATGCTGGTTTCCAGCTTCCCACTCCCAGCTTCATGGTCTCACCCTAGACCCCACGCCCTCTCATTTGGCTTCCCCTGAATGAGCAACTTATAAGAGAGCCAAACAATTCCTAGGGCTCAAAAATAGCTGTTAACTTCTTTGACTATCCGGCCACAGAATTAATTATAACTGTCGTCTTACCTAGACAATGACTTGGACATGTACAGGTTGAAAAATTATTATCGTTGTTGTTTTGAGACATAAATGGACCAAATATGACAAAATCTCTTCTTTGTATTACTTAATTACAAAACATGACCAAATTCCTTCAGTCCAAATTAGTTAAAATGGTTCATATTAATATAAG